ATGGATTGAAGATATCAGGGACATACCGTTAACATCAGCTGCTGCTATAGCTGAACGCCATGCTTCCAACACAAGACCAAAGTACAGGTTAAACAACAGTGGGGCCATAACGCACCCTTGCCGCAAACCATTCTCAACCGAGATGCTCCCAGACACATCACCATCAACCCGAACAGCAGCCTGCATGCCTGAATGGAAGCCGTCAATCAGCTGGATGAGTGACCCAGGCACACCATACACCTCAAGGGCCAGCAACAGCGCAGCGCGTGGTACCGAGTCGTACGCCTTGCGGAGATCGATGAAAACGAGAAAGGCCTTACAGCGGTGTTCGAATGCCTTCTCGACTACCTGTCGCACGCACGCCCTTGCAAAGAAGGGCGTGCGGCGCATACACACACACACACACACACACACACACACACACACACACACACACACACACACACACACACATGCACCTGCAGACACACGCCAGCTTCCCAGTTCTTTTTTGACGTTCTGATTTACCTACTTGAATTTCAACAGCGAATAAACCACAGCACAAGTGGGAATGTGGTGGGTGTCTTCTGCCTATACTTAATTATCTATTCAACTGAAGCTGCAGGAAGTGGCCAAATATATCTCAGAACTACCATCACGCACACACGCACGCGTGCATGTACGCATGCATGCACGTACCTATGCACACACGCATGCATGCACGCATGCACACACACATTAACTACAACACACAGCAACTTGCGGTACGGGGGAGTGCTGGCCAGCGGAGTGTGAGCCTTGTCGACTGCCAGAGCAGGATCTTGGCGGAGCCAAGAGAGTCTAGAAAGGTCTGAGGGACGACGACAGAGTGCCGTGACTACCCGGAAATGAGCGTTACCAACACCCCTTTTATTCACTTTGTCGACGCGAACTCGATCTTACGTAACGTTCGCGAATGCTAAAATACCTCAGTTTGAATGTTTCACGTCAATTTTCTCCTTTTTTGTCTATCGCCATATTTACCATGGCGATGTGCAGTGCTGGCAGTTTTGATGCGCATGCTTGATCCTTTGGCGATGATGTTATTGGCGGGCTGACTGCACTCGAGGAGTCTCACGTTTTTGTTGTAATGGTGCGTCTGATGACGATGAAGTCCAATCCTTCTTGTTCTGTGTCCAATGTCAGTAACAATTAATTCAGTAACGATAGAGCTACAATTGTAGAGCTCTCTCGACTCAGCGAATAGAATAACTTCAGTCAAACAGTATTTTGTGAGTGGCAATCAGGCGGGGAAATTCAAACTGTGTTTATGCCACCACAAGCGTCGAGCGAACGTCACATGACGCCCATGTTGAGCGCAACATACAAATGCCATGGTGAATGCCACGTCGCACTTCGCCAACACATTGAATGTCACATTTAATGACACGTAGAGTGTCACGTCACCTAGAGTACCCAGGCGCGTGCGCCGGTGCCGTTCAAGGGGGGGGGGGGTTCGGGGGCCTCCCCCCAGAAAAGTTTCAAAAAATGAAGCAAAATCCTGCATTTTGAGCGAAAAAGGGGGGTTCCGGGCACCCAGGAACCCATACGGGGCACGCGCCTGGTACCACGCGTGCATGCACAATGTTGTTTGGCCGACATGGTCACCGTGACGTGCAGCGCACGCGACCGTAGACAGTAGCAAAGCATGAGTATACAGCAACAGTACTATCAAACATAGCAGCATAGCTTGAGCGGTAGCACGAAGCTACGTGCACCCATTAATCTGCATTATCACCACACACACACACACACACACACACACACACACACACCTGCAGACCCAAATTTTGCATTGTGGTTTACCTCAGGTTTAGGAGGACTCTATCTGCGAGAGGAGATGTTCTCTCTCAAAGCACTGATTATGTCAGCTAGACTATGAGATGAGCCAACCGAACGTCAAGTCTAAAAAACAGCAGCAGAGGGGTCACCCACAAACACACAGACGCAGACACAGACAGACATACCATTGGGCCATCGGACGCCCATCGCCGGAGGCGATGATAAGGATGCTACAGCAGAAGCCATAGCAGCTTGTGCTGGGATTGCACCATTCAACAGCTTGCAAGCCTGAAGAATTGACCGCCACTATTCAGCCTGGTCTACACCATACAGCTATGAAGTGGCTTTTTCTGGCCAGTGAATCCCTACTTTTTGGTCTTTTTTATTTTTTTCCACGCACACACATCACACCACATACTCCGGCATGCACTGGCTGTTGGTAACCACCCAGGAGCAGTGATCTAGCCAAAGCCGGCTCAGCCGGGCGACCTGCCGGCTGAGACAGCTCCAAGGGTAATTTTGGCCGGCTGCAGTCACCCCCATGTAGACTGTAGTGCACTGCACTAGCACTTGAGTCTAGATGGTGCAGTACAACCCATATCCTAGGCGTAGGTATGTACAGTACACTACGTAGCACTGGCTAATCAGGCTCAGTGCTAGCTCTTCACACAAGCTCAAATGCACTTGAGTATGCACTTGAGTACGTCAGTAAAATGTAACAGGTTGGGTCATGGTTCACTGCTTCTGGTGGTGTACACGGCTGTGACTAGGCTGGGACTTGTCAGATGACCAATGTACACTGCATGCAGACATGACCTTGGTGAACACATGATCCATGCTCATGTAGCTGTTTGCTTCCTTTTCATATTTTGTTAATTTACCTATAATCACATTGTCACAACTGCCTGATGAATGCCCATAATTGGACGAAGCGAAAGGACATGCAAGCTGCAATGAAAGATTTGTAGTGGTGTGTGTGTGTGTGTGTGTGTGTCTGTGTGGATACGTGACTGATGGCGGGGGTCTGTGGGCGCAGCCCCCAGAACGATGCATTTTAACTAGAACGTTGGCCGGCTGGCATAAAATCCTGGCTAGACCTCTGCAGGAGAATGAAAGAAAAGTCAGGAAGAGTCTGAGAAAGAGAAGAAAGACGTGTGTGACCATAATCGTCGGGAATCGAACCCGCAACTTATCGATTGGAAATCGCTGCACATACCACTGCACCATATGGGACACCCACCCACACACACAAGACACACATACATACATACACACACACACACACACACACACACAAACACACTCACACACAAACACACAAACACACATACACACACACAAACACACACATTCACACACACACACATGTGCTCGCACTCGCAAACGCACACACACACACACACACACACACACACACAAACATACACACCCATACAAACACACACACATACACACACACGCAAACACATGTACACAAACAAACACACATACACACATACACACACAAACGCACTCACACACACACAAACGCACGCATGCATGCACACACACACACACACACACCTGTATGCGCACCTGCACACACACACACACACACACGCGCACACGCACACACACACATACAGACACACACACGCGCACACTCACACACACACACACACACACACACACGAATATGGACATACATACACACATGTGCAGACATTAAATACAACACACAGAAACTTGCGGTACGGGGCAGTGCTGGCCAGCAGAGTGAGAGGCTAGACACAGAGAGATTCAGAGTCGGCCGGGTAGACACTGCCGGAGCAGAATCTTGGCGGAGCCAAGTATATACAAGAGACCAGTCGACTACCGGAGCAGGATCTTGGCAGAGCCAAGAGAGTCTAGATATGTCCGAGGGACGGCGACTGAGGGCCCTGAGTAGCCGGAAATGAGCATGGCCAACACCCTTTTTATTCACTTTATCAAAGTAAATGAGTGATGAGAAATGGGAGGTCGGAAGGTGAAACACAACGAGCAGACAAGAATGAACCACACACAGTACGGATCGAAATTTATAGCGACGCGAGCTCTAGCAAATCATGTCGAGCAAACGTCGAGCGAACGTCGCATGACGCCCACGTTGAGCGCATCACATATACCGTAAAGTCCGCTGCAAACGCCCACCCCAGCGGGTAACGCCCACCCCAGCGGGTAACGCCCACCCCAGCGGGTAACGCCCACCCCAGCGGGTAACGCCCACCCCAGCGGGTAACGCCCACCCCAGCGGGTAACGCCCACCCCAGCGGGTAACGCCCACCCCAGCGGGTAACGCCCACCCCAGCGGGTAACGCCCACCCCAGCGGGTAACGCCCACCCCAGCGGGTAACGCCCACTTCTCTGCAAACGCCCACCCCAGCGGGTAACGCCCACCCCAGCGGGTAACGCCCACCCCAGCGGGTAACGCCCACCCCAGCGGGTAACGCCCACCCCAGCGAGTAACGCCCACCCCAGCGGGTAACGCCCACTTCTCTGCAAACGCCCACCCCAGCGGGTCGACGCCCACTTCGCTGCAAACGCCCACTTCGCTGCAAACGCCCACTTCGCTGCAAACGCCCACTTCGCTGCATACGCCCACTTCGCTGCAAACGCCCACTTCGTTGCAAACGCCCACTTCGCTGCAAACGCCCACTTCGCTGCAAACGCCCACTTCGCTGCAAACGCCCACTTCGCTGCAAACGCCCACTTCGCTGCAAACGCCCACTTCGCTGCAAACGCCCACTTCGCTGCAAACGCCCACTTCGCTGCAAACGCCCACTTCGCTGCAAACGCCCACTTCGCTGCAGACCCCCACCCCAGCGGGTCCATACTATTTTCGTCTTTTTCAGGTCAATATAGTTGTAGAAAACTGGCATTAAGGTTAAATGTGTACGAGAACGACTATAATGCCTACAAACTGGATATGTCTTACCAAGAGGCTCTACAAAAGCGATTGTCATTATCTTGCTGCAAAGAAAAAAACTTCAGTCGAGATTTCCTTTCATACGATTGTTAGGTACCTCCTCCCGTACCTTTTCTAGCTGGCCTGCATGCACTTGCGTACTCACCTTTTGTCTCCTTTTGTTCCGTTGGCCTGGGTAGCTACTTGCGCGCCCATATTTGCCATAGCTACCCAGGCCCTTCATCTTGCCGTTCAGACTTGCTCTCATTCTCTCTTTTCTCACTCTTCAATGTAGTCGTTTAGTTCGTCTTGGTCTCTTGTCTCGTCGTCTATAATAAATGTCGTTCCCCCAACCTACCTGTTCCCGTTGTAATGTCTGGATAATGTGTCGTCAGTTGTCCTGTTTCGAACTCAACATTGGCGCCCGATTATTGATCAACCCACGACCCTGAGATCATCCCATGCCCAGTCGTCCTCAACCGCCATTCGTCTCGTCTATGTCCACCTCGTCTCGTCCAGGTCCATCTCGTCTCGTCTCCAACCGCGTCTCGTCTATCAACCTCGTCTCTCCTACGCCAACCTCGTCTCGTCTATGTCAACCTCGTCTCGTTTCAAGCCATGCAGGTCAGCTACCTTTCTCTCTTTCTTTTTTTGTATGCGTTCCTTCTTCGTCAAATTTATTTTCGTGAATTTTTTTTGTAGTGTGTGTGCGCGCGCGGGTGTCCTTCATTAATATTAGGGGTCCGATCATGGTGAGCCACGCTCTCTTATTTATGTCGTATATTGAAGAGTAACTAGGCTCTATTAGCCGTGCACAATACTAGTCATCAGAATACAATTCAAGTCCCTCGTCGAACTCCAATAGTTATTTTTGGTGCCATGTTTTGAAGGGGCGTTTGGGCCCGTTGTTATTGGCAATGTACATGTACACACTATAGTATAAGTAGTACAGGAACGTTGACGCTTGTAATGATCTGTAGTGCATTTTTTAGTACACACTTTTGTGAGGCCCGTGCGTTGTGTGTGTGTGTTTTTTCTCCTTCAGTCATTTTTTTAAATCTTTTTCTCTCTTTTTTTCTCTCCGCGAGGACGCGGGATTTTTTTCATGGAGGGGTGGTATGTTAGGTACCTCCTCCCGTACCTTTTCTAGCTGGCCTGCATGCACCTGCGTACTCACCTTTTGTCTCCTTTTGTTCCGTTGGCCTGGGTAGCTACTTGCGCGCCCATATTTGCCATAGCTACCCAGGCCCTTCATCTTGCCGTTCAGACTTGCTTTCATTCTCTCTTTTCTCACTCTTCAATGTAGTCGTTTCGTTCGTCTTGGTCTCTTGTCTCGTCGTCTATAATAAATGTCGTTCCCCCAACCTACCTGTTCCCGTTGTAATGTCTGGATAATGTGTCGTCAGTCGTCCTGTTTCGAACTCAACACGATGAATGAGTTGTCTTTGTTATTAGTTCGTTCTTCATGAAGTAATGCCGTAGAATCCATCTGGTTTTCAAATCATAAAATTTCTGCATTGCCACGATGTCGCGCTTTCAGAATGGAACGGTGATTGTTCTGACGAAGCGTCATTCAACGACTTGACCGGTCGCAGTATTGCAGTTGCAAGTCGAACAGGGGGGGGGGATGTCACAGAAGCTACACCTACAAAGTCGCTGCTAACTTGTTGAAAACTCTGAAGTGCTCGAGAAAAACCCTTGCCATTGCGCTTTGCGTGATTTGGAAATGATGGCTTGAAACACCGTCAGAAGTGTATTTGGTTCCTGCAATAGTCTGTTCTTCGCTACCTCACCTGTTTATTCCGAAGCAACTCCCGTTTGGATTTTCGAAATTTAACAACCAACATCATAAAATCACTAGGAGCTAGCTCGTAACTAGTGCCCAAAAACATTTTGAAACCCAGAAAATGGACATAGTTTACCGTAGCAAAGCATTCCTCGCGCTACGGTGTGAGATGCACTTTCGTACAGTAGGGGTGAAAGTGCATGGGGTCAGTGCATATAGGCCAGCAGATCTTGCAAAAATGGGGTGGGCGTTTGCAGCGGACTTTACGGTATATGCCATGGCAAATGCCACGTCGCACGTTGCCGACACGGTGAATGTCACGTTCAATGGCACGGAGAGTGTCACGTCACCTAGAGTACCACGCGCGCATGCACAATGCTGTTTGGCCGACTTCGTCACTGTGAAGTGCAGTGCACACGACCGTAGACAGTAGGAAAGCATGAGTATACAGCAACAGCAAACATAGCAGCATAGTTTGAGCGGTAGCACGAAGCTGCGTGCACCCATTAATCTGCCTAATTATCACCATAATGATACACACACCATTGGACCATTGGACGCCCATCGCCAGAGGCGATGATAGCGATGCTACAGCAGAAGCCATAGCAGCTTGTGCTGGGATTGCACCATTCAACAGCTTGCAAGGCTGAAGAATTGACCACCACTATTCAGCCTGGTCTACTCCACACAGGTATGAAGTGGCTTTTCTGGCCAGTGAATCACTACTTTTTTTTCACGCACACATATCACACCATATACTCCGGCATGCACTGGCTGTTGGTAACCACCCAGGAGAATGAAAGAAAAGTCAGGAGGAGTCTGAGAAAGAGAAGAAAGACGTGTGTGACCATAATCGTCCGGAATCGAACCCGCAACCTATCGATTGGAAATCGCTGCACATACCACTGCACCATATGGGACACACACACACACACACACTTGTACTTGTGCTTGTTGCTCACTGCCAAAACTGGTCACGTGGGTCTCCCCGGGAGAGGGAAGAGAGACTCAAAAGGAATCTTGGAAAGATGACTCAATTGGCTATTGAACCGCCCAACAGCCGACACCCCCTCAAATCCCCAAAACTCTGGGTGGACTTGAAAATGATCCCACTTATGGGCTCACCACACCTCAGTAAGTGGGTAAGGACAAGGTGCAGAAAAAGGATTGACGGCATCAGAGTATACGTCCTGGGATCCAACTGCAGTTACCCCTGACCCCAGTGAAGGTAATACTTGCTACTAGTGTGGGTGACTAAATCAGAGTGGATCTGATATAAGCTTCACTAGCACCATTGATTACCGAACTAGCTGACACACATACACACACACCCGCGCGCTCGCGCGCCCACGCACCTGCAGACCCAAATTTGCATTGTGGCTTACCTCTGGTCTAGAAGGACTCTATCTGCGAGAGGAGATGTTCTCTTTGAAAGCACTGATCGAAGTATGTCAGTTAGACTATGAGATGAGCCAACCGTACACCAAGTCTAAAGAAAAGCAGCAGATGTATAACACAGAAACACACACACATACACACGAACCCGCAATCTATCGATTGGAAATCGCTGCACAAACCACTGCACCATATGGCACACACACACACACAAACACACACACAAACACACATACACATACACATAACACACACACACACACACACACACACACACACACACCATTTGACCATTTGACGCCCATCGCCGGAGGCGATGATAGCGAATGCTACAGCAGAAGCCATAGCAGCTTGTGCTGGGATTGCACCATTCAACTGCTTGCAAGGCTGAAGAATTGACCGCCACTATTCAGCCTGGTCTACACCGCACAGTTATGAAGTGGCTTTTTCTGGCCAGTGAATCCCTACTTTCGGATCTTTATCTTTTTTGCTTTTTTTTCACACACACACATCACACCACATACTCCGGCATGCACTGGCTGTTGGTAACCACCCAGGAGAATGAAAGAAAAGTCAGGAGTAGTCTAAGAAACAGAAGAATGACGTGTGTGACCATAATTGTCGGGAATTGAACCCGCAACCTATCGATTGGAAATCGCTGCACATACCACTGCACCATATGGGACACACACAAACACACACACACACACACACACACACACACACACACACACACACACACACACACACACACAACGCATGACTGCATGCACACAAACATGTACGCGCACACGCACGCACACACACACACACACACACACACACACACACACACACACACACACACACATATAAACTACAACAAAATGCGACTTGAGCTACGAGGGAGTGCTGGCCAGCGGAGTGAGAGGCTACATAGAGAGAGATTCAGGGTCGGCAGGGTGGACACTGCCGGAGAAGAATCCACGAGAGACTTGTCAACTGCCGGAGCAGGATCTTGGCAAAGCCAAGAGAGTCTGACACTTGTCGACCGCCGGAGCAGGATCTTGGCGGAGCCAAGAGAGTCTAGAAATGTCAGCAGGACGATGACCCATAGCCCTGAGTGTCCGGAAATGAGCGTGGCCAACACCCCTTAGCGCTTGCACCCGAATGCATCAGAACAGTGTATAGGAAATGGGAGAGCCAAGTGACTACATGCAATGGAAAGTCACAGAGCAAAGCTGCATGCATACCCACGTATTCTCACAACACCGCACAAGGATGATTGGGGTACACCAGTGTGCTGGTTTCGATCAACTGGTGAAGCGATTGGCGTTGCAAACAGCCAAAGTGATCGCTCACGACTGAGCCGCAGCAGTACCCGCGACCGGGTGCAAAGTTCCCTGATCGACGTTGCAAACAGCCAACCAGGGTGAAGCAGTTGGCGTTGCAAACGGCCAAAGCAATCGCTCATGCTTGAGCGGCAATAGTACCCACGACCGGGTGCAATGACTACTGATTGGCGTCGCAAACAGCCGACCAATAGTATGCAATTTTAAGCAGAGATAGTAGCAGCAAAGCAACCAGTTGAAGGAAGCTGTTCCCAGAAAACCAGCACACGGCACCCCAGCAAGCGTTCACCACCAATGCACGAGAGCTCAGAACAAGTGAATTAAGGCACGAGATGGATAAAGGTAGGCATGCAGATGGATGAAATCCAACGCAGGTTCTCAATACGACAATTTAGCAATGACAATCGGTACCTGTATGTCAAGGCTATATTGCATCGACTGGAATGGCAGCACTGCTTGGTCTGGTTGTGCTTGAGCAGCTGGGGCGAGACGCCGAAATTCCTCCATGCGGAAACGAGACAGCGAATCGGCAATGCAGTTAGACTGGCCAGCAATGTGAGCAGCAGCGACGGTGAAATTGAAGCGGGCGCACACAAAGAACAGCTCCCTGATCAGGGTCATCACTGGCGGTGACTTGGATGTGCCGGAGCGGATGCAATCTACCACAGCCTTGTTGTCACAGTGCATTGTGATACGAAGCTGGCGCCATTCCTTGCCCCACGTGCAGCACGCTGTGACCAACGCGTAGAGCTCCTTCCACTCAATGCTGTGAGCGAGTTGCTCAGACGACCAGGTCCCTTGAAGCCAGCGGCCGCTGTTGAATGCGCCCCAGCCCAGGGTGCCACTGGCATCAGTGAACAGCTCCAAGTCTGGAGATGGTGTCCAATCTGGGAACAGGAAGAATGATTTTCCGTTCCATTCTTCCAGGAGCCGTAGCCACCATTGGATATCTTCCTGGCACTCGGTAGTCAGACTGATGCGGTAGTGAGGCTGCTGGTAGCGACTGCAAATAGACCACAGGCGCCGCATAAATGTCCGACCGGGTACGATGACTCTTGCAGCGAAGGAGAGTTTCCCCAGAAGAGATTCGAGTTCGAGGGAGACATGGTAGGGTTGATGCTCGCTGCAGTCAACAGGCGCTTGATGTCAGCCAATTTGTCGTCAGGGAGCCGGGCTTCCATCTTCTCACAATCCAGGATAATGCCCAGGAATGTCAGGGTACGAGACGGGCCTTCCACCTTCGCAGGCGCGAGCGGGACTCCGAGGTATGAGAATGCACGGAGAAGAATGGCCAGCTGCCGATTCGCCACTGCCTGGCCCACGCTCACGCACAAGTAGTCGTCCAGGAAATGCAGCAATTTAGGGATGGAGAATTCGTGGTGCATTATCCATTCGATGGTGGCTGCCACTGCATCAAATACCGCTGGGCTAGAGCGAAGCCCAAATGGCAAGACACGGTCGTAGTAGTACTTACCCTGCCACAGGATGCCTAGGAGATGCCAATCCTGTGGGCGGACAGGTATTTGACGAAAAGCGCTCTTCACATCGAGTTTAGAGAGATAGACAGGAGACGGGGAGGACATAATGATGCTAATGGCTTCATCAATGCTGATGTACTGCAAAGAGAAAGGTTCGGCAGGGATCCCGTCGTCAACGCTGGAGCCGGCAGGGCTGGACAGGTGGTGTATCAAGCGTAGCTTGCCATTCTTTTTCGGAACGGCGCCAATGCCAGAGCAGTACATAAATGAGAATGGGGGCGAGTCAAATGGGCCAGCCGTGTAGCCGGCGTTGCAGGAAGCGGTGAGCTGTGCAGACACAAATGCAGAGTGCTGGAATGCTGATGAGAGGTTGGACTAGTGTTGGTTAGTTATGCGGTTGCCGGTAAAGCCAATGTCAAAGCCGCAGCGGAGGCCGTTAATAACATACGAAGCCAATGAACTGTCAGGGTGGTTACGAAGCAGTGATTCGAAGCGAGAAACAGAGAGGGCGTGTGGACAGCAGGACATGCGCTTGTGAAATCAGTGGAACGTGAAGTGCAGGGAGAAATATGTACAATCGCGGGAGCTGCAGCCAAAGCAGCACAGTTACTGGCGCCTACCGCACTTAGATCCGTTGTGGTCCTTGGACCCGCAGCGGGTGCAGACATGGGCGTACTTGCACCTGCTGAGACTGCAACGCCCAGCGTTGAAGTTCCGGCAGATCGGTTGGCCATTAGACACCGTACGGACCCCATTGAAGGCTTGCTGGTTGTTACGTTGCGGAGAAAGGGACACTGGCCGCCTCCGGGATGGACGAGGCGGCAGGACTCACATGTGGGCCTTGATTGGCTAGTCACGGACATTTGCCACAGATTGATGTCGATGACGTCAAAGCGCTTGCCTGGCTGAGCAGAAATGGCAGAGCGAAACTGGGTGTCGTACGACAGCCAAGCCTCCGGATAGTATTGCCTGTTGGCTGCAACAATGGTGGCTTGGTATGAGAGCATCTCCTGCAGGCGGGTTGGCAGAACACACGATGTTCATGAAGAGAGTCCATGCCTCCAGCCATGTCGGCAAGTCGTGGAAGCGTCGACGAACGGGCTGGGCAGCTCCACCTTCCACCACCTGTATTCCAAAACATAAATACGCACCATAGCAGCAGCACCAGCAGCAGCAGCAGCAGCGGGGAAAGAGACACCTACAATACGGAGGATTAGCAAGACGAAATTCGCATTCGTGTTCACGAACATTTTTCGGTTCGCAAACTGGATTGCAAACTTTCGCATTTTTCGTTTGGAAAAGTAGTCGAAACACAAATCGCGGATTCGTGTCAGGACAGTCATCAATTTACAATGCCGTACTGTCTGTGAGCAATGTACGACGTGTCAACGTCATGCATGTGTGAATTCTGTTTGCTAATCCTTCTCAATGCAAAATTCCATCACTGAGTTCGACTTTGCTTGGAGTGCGAACACGAACGCGGATTCCGTCTTGCTAATTCTCCGTAGTGTCATGATGTCATGATAGAAGAACAGTTACAGCCTGGTACATGTAGATAGAAAGCTTTTCCAGTTCTCAACGCTAGTGCTCAAAGGAATACACCGAGTACTCGAGTACACGCTCGCTGAGTACTTGACTTGAATTCAAAAGGGGCTCGATACTCGATAGCATACACGTATAGTAGAGGAATGTATGCTGTCATGACTTTTTTGTGCAGCACAAACTGACAAAGTCTATTTATGTAGTTCCTCTCGACGAAGTCAGAGCCAGGCGCGTACGCAGGGGGGGGGGGGGGGGGTTCCCGTTGCCCGTAAACCCCCCAAATGTTCCAAACGAGCAACGTTTTTGGGCATTTATTGGTAGGGCGCATGATCGATCTGGCAAGAATGCAAAACTTCAAAAGATCGTAACTCAGTCAAATCTCGCTCAAATCCAACGATCCAAATATCCAGGTCGAATAGAAAACTCTCAGCTGTCGGTTAAAACAATTTGTGAAGCGCTGCGAGCAATGTATCGTGAGATAAATCATTCCTAAATTGAGCCGCGATCTTGGCAATTTCAAAAGCGCGCAGTGCGACTTGAGAATCGAGAATTTGAGATTTTCGTCACGCTGATTTGCTCAAATTTGCAGGGGCTTCCCTTGTGATATTTTCAAGAGTACACAGGAAAAAGTCGAAACTCTGCGATCAAGAAAAACGAAATCGCTGGAGCAGGACGCGTTTGGGCCTGTTTGGGGCATTTTTCGCACCGTCGCTGCACTCTACCGCTATAGCCTATAGCGCTGGATATGTATATGACTGTACTGTGTCCTGGCTATCATGGTCGACCTCATTCTCTCCCTGATACCTTTCCACTTCCAGGAAGCCCAATATAATGAAGATTGAGTGAGTAGAACTGAAGTTATGATCCAAACAACACGAAAAAATGCATAATTTTGAAAATTTCCTACGGCTCTTTAGGAAGGGTTAAAACTAACACACTTACACACACTTTGTTACTGGTTGTTTGGGATTCGGTTGGAAACCCCCCTAGAGGTGACCCTGCGTATGCGCCTGAGAGCTGTGCCTCTATTACTGGAAGTGTTTAGCTATGTAGATGCAAGTGAAAGAGAGAAAAATCAGTCCGAGAGATGTCACTGACTTTGGGCGAAACTTGACCTACCCTGTACAATGAACATGTGTGCTCAATTTGAAGCTAAAGTTGGCGTGCTGGGAATGTGCACATTAGAGCGACTAGGTTGTGTTATAGGGTACTCAACTCGATAGTGGCACTACTCGTTCGATAGCATAGAGTGCTCGTTTGAGCACTACTCAAAACCTTGGCAATGTACATTTAGATACTTGGTCAGCATCAGCAATATTGTCGCTTATCTTTCGACAATTTGAAATTAGACTTTGGACAACAACGTGTGCACTTGAGGTGATAAAACGTGGTACGATAGAAGGTAAGGTATAGAATGACAACTAGCCATGAGGAATGTATTGTCCAAGGAAGTGTTCATACTTTTGTTGGTCCTCCTCGTCGCTGCTCTCGGCTCTGGATTGCTCTCTCGCTTTTGCAAGCTCATCTCTATTCCTCTCCGCTGCCTGGCTACTTTCTAAAGGGAAGTCGATCGTGACGGTTGCCTTCTCTATATGACTTCGCGTGGGCAACACGACTACCTGTGTGGTTCAAATCAGTCGCCGTTCTTTGCAAGATTTTATATTGAACGACGACGACGCGTACAGTACTGAGTAAATCTCCACGGGCGCTGGATACTCCGAGCGTTGAGCTGGAGGTGAGGGAACTACGATCTCAGCTTGTCGAGCGATCCCCGAGGTGAGCCTTCTCAGCCGTTTTGCAAAATGGAACTGATTTCGAGTATAGTAGCCGATTACTTTATTGTGCGTCGCGCTGCTCTTACCTGTGCAGTGTGACAAGAAAATATATTTTATGCGGCGTGGTATCAATCAGAATCACCCACCCGTCGCTCTCGAAATCAACTCCAAATCTAGCTAGACCTTTCAGGTACTAGTAAACTAACTTACTAACCATTAATGGGATGAAATGGGCTGCCAAGTGAGCATCCCCGACATATAAACCAAGCTGAAAGATAAGCGACAATAATATTGATGACGCGGACCAAGTAGAATCTTTCTCACTACTCAAAACCTTGGGGGTGTACACGTACTCTGGAGCTGGACGCCAGATGGGACGCAAGGCAAAGAAGGACGCATACATCACGCTGAAGGTTCCTAAGGACACCTTTCCCGGTCCCTACCATGCCGGCTCATTAATCCCTCAAAGAGTGAGATTGGCATAGTCTCCAAGTCCATACTCGATACCGCTCTAAAACAGCTCCGCCCCCAGCTGCAGATCAATGCATGGAGGAACACGGCAGTGGTGATAGAGTGGTTCACAAGTACAGTCAACTTGGCTAATAACGACTGCGGATATAACGACAATTCGCGAATAACGACAGAATTTCCATGCCCAGAGCAAAGTCCCATCTAACTGTATACATTTAATTTCGGATACAACGACTATCTGAATAACGACAATTCGTGAATAACAACAAGCTTTTAGTGCCCCGAGGTCATATCCACTGCTTGAATAACGACTTTCTGGGCTTTTGACAGCTACTTCAAGTACCTGTCATGCAGAAGTACCAGAACCCATGGCGATGGATAAAGGTACACATGCAAGAAGATGCAGCCAAGGGGGGTGGGGGGTGCTTTTATTATTGTTACTTTTTGCTTCTACATGTAAATACATGCAGTTGTAGTGATCGGCACAGCTACATATACATGTAGTTGTATGGTGTACATGATTGTACAGTAATCATCATAATTATATGTACAGTACATGTCCCTGTATACGTACAGTACATGTCCCTGTATATGTGTAGGACTCAGTATAGAGTCCATGCACTATATGATGTCCAGCACCCTATATAGAGTCCATTGGTCCAAAATCCACTATACAGAGTCCAGGAGTCCACTCAGTTTTGATCAGCTTCAACCTGCCGCGCAATCCCCTATAAGGAGTACACTTTTTCTACCAGTCCCCTATTCACAGTCCAGGAGTCCAGTTTTATCCAGTCACGCTGTCCTGTGTGTTGTGCCCGAAAAAGAACAATTCATTTTCAGTTTTGCTTGCCTGGTGGCAGCGCATTCCTTTCTTCACTTCAGCCATGGCTGCCAGTTCTGCTGTGAAGTTGCTGACAGTAATCTGTCACGAGGTAACCAAGGAGGATAAGGAGACGTTCAAAATCAAATCTGGAAAGCGTCTTGTGGTTCTCTGAAGACGTTTCATCAGTGCGCGGGATGACAGCAGAAATTGCAGAACGAGAAAAGTTCAGCACAGTTCAAATCTGACGAGTCAGGTACACTGACACTCTCTTTCGTTCGACGCCACAAGGATCCCCTGTTAGGCTGGCCATTGCTGCCAGTAAGACGTTTGAACGGTTTCATCAGAGCGAGGGATGAAAGCAGAAAGCGGAGAAAGAGAAAAGTTCAGCACAGTTCCAATCTGACGAGTTAGATACACTGACACTCTCTTTCGTTCGACGCCACAAGGATACCCCTGTTTGACTGGACAAGAGCTGCCTGTACCACCGTGTCAAAAGGCTGTCCAACTACATGGCAGGACGATGACTGAGGTAAGGAAGCTTTTACTCGTTTCGATTGGTCTGCTCACGGTTCTGTCGTTATGCTTGAATTTTTTTTCCATTTTCAAGGAGCGTATCGCGTTTGTTTGATGTTGCTTGAATGAATGCCCTAAAAGTAATCAACCACTTCGTAATAGTCCTCAAGGACTGCAAGGACTTTGCATCAATCGTATACGATCGTCTAGCTATCATCAATTATTATAATTATTTCATGAGAAATGTATTTTTATCCCTGTGATAATTATGTGAAACTCCACGACACTCTTCCTCTAGTATGATGTCAAATACAATGGGATCCACAAACGCAGTGCCAGTGTACTAGTAGTAGTAGGAGGATTGCTTGTATGCCAATGACAAGAAAAAGCTTCTCCTTGAAGTAACCGTTTTGATGTCACGAACATGACATTGTGTCAGTGAAACTGCCTCGTGACAACAAATCATTGCATTTCCATCTTGGGGAAGACTGACTGACGGCAACGCTGTACAGATTGTTCAAATCATCTCATTTCAATTTAGTTGCAGTGAAGTGAAACACTGTGTACACTACAGGTATGGTGGTGTGTCTGTGCGTCTTGAGTGTGCACAAACGATCTTATTCCTCGTATTACTAATAGATTATTGTCCCCTCCGTCACCTGTTCACAGGTCTTTGAGTGGATTGATTTTCATTGAGCCTCACATTCGTTGAGAACTTGGTAGTTGTGTGCTCCCGTGCATCATTACGGTAATAAGCGTATCCTTGTGCTATCTATTTGTTGCAGGTGTGCTGATTTTCAGAAGCTTGCGGAACTGAGTGCTGCTGAACATTTGCATGGCCATGAGCAATGGTGAAGCTTGCTATTGCACTCTCAGCATGTGCTAGTATTATGCTGACTACTGCACTATGTTACTCTCTTACACTACTACATGTATGTAAACGTGCGTGCATCCGCCCAGGTATGCATTCGTTTCGTATAATTATTTGTTATCCCTCTTGACTTTACTTGTAAATGGGTGGACGTTTGCATGGCTGTTGGAGTTGCGTGTGTATGGTGTCTCTACTCTTTTTTTGGTGTTTTCTTGACGTTGTACAAGTTTGTGTGTGTGTGTGTGTGTGTGTGTGTGTGCGCGCGCGCGCGCGCAATAATTTGAAAACAAATAATTCAACCTGGGCTCTCCATTATTCTCTTTCGATTCTTGTTTTTTTCTAGGCATTTTCTTGGCGTTGTGTGGGTGTGTGCATGTGTGTGTGTGCGTGCACAATTATTTGGCAACACTACATGATTGAGATATTGTAATTTGCAGCGTCTGCGAAGAGACCACTTGATTTGAGGATGGTGTTTGTAGGCTTTTTTATGTAATGAAGTGGCTGCAGTGGCGCCTCAATACATATTTTTACATTGAGAAGTGAGTGATGTAAAGGATTAAAGGGAGAGGCCGTTTTCTGGTTATATTCACTGCTTACAGCAGATCCTATGTCTAATTTCGAACTCGATAGGGGATGCCTAATTGGCTGGACTTTATACAGGGAGTGTTGTCCACATAAGACTCTTTAATCTTTATAGTTGATTTCAAAGTTTGGACTCCGTACGGTTGATTTTGAACCAATGGACTCTATACAGGGAGTGATGTCCATCTAAACTTTGAGCTCACAGTTGAT